GTGTGTAGCGCAAACTAGTATCCTTGGATTCTGTTTCCATAACACTCTTGAAATAATCCAGTAAAAGTCTCTGGGTAAACTCCGCTCATTGAAATAAATAACGCTGATCGAAATTATATTTATGCCTCCCTGCGCTCACACAAACAGCTCAAAATGCTGCTTTTTCTCTGACACGTACTTTTCAAGGAGAGTTCCATTCCTGCTAATGGTTTAAGCTTGTGAAATGAAGCAACATATTCTGAAAGGGTCTCACACAACTTCTGGTCTAACATTATAATCACATACCTCCCCATACGGACAGGGAGGCGGGGGAGGGAGCGAGGGAGAGCAAGGGAAAAGAGGCATTTCTCTCCCGAATCCTAAGCCTGGCTAATCACACTTTGCTCCATTTAAAGGAGGAATTCACGATAAGAACGAAGGTCAAAGAAGGGGAAAATTGCATAGTTGGGAGACAGGCGGACCTCCTGAGGGTGCTGACCGACGCGCAATTGGCAGCGAAAGATTTGACCTCGGCGATCTAGCATGGCTCACTCTTGGCGCGGTTGGCGGGGTACGCCCACCGACTATCTAATCACTCGCCGCAGGTCTATACGTGGCGAGTGATTAGATAGCAGAGAGAGCGTAGTGTTGAAGAGGGCACAGCGATGAGAGTCGCATCAATGCGCAAATCAACGGGCAAGGAAGGGGTCCCATTTCTCGGGTTTCGGGCCGTTTCAAATGGTTTCTTCTTCATCCCTGCTCCACTGACCACCTCTACCCTTATTTCCAATGAGCTAACTTTTCATGGCAATTCCACCTTCGAACCGGATGGCTCCAACTGGAAACATTAGCCAAATTCTCTTTGCTTCGTAGGCAATTGCGACGTTTCCTGAAATGGTGGTCGCCAGAGCCTTGCCAGAGTCTTACATAGTGAGAGCTACTGCATCCAAGAAACTGAGCGCCAGTGAATCGACTCGAAGTTGGTAGCAGCTTTAGATTGGAGCAATTACCGTAGACCTTCTTGAGCTCGACCGCAACAGCGGATGACTTCATTTTCTGGAGTGAACAAGGGTTTGATAATGTTATCGAAAGACATTCCAAGAATATTTCACAGCGGGATTCTAGCACTGGTGGTAGATTGTGGTGCAAAAAGTTTGATGATTTAAGAAAAGGTCCCTTTTTGCACCTCTCCCATGTACTTCTTTACTATGGTAGCGCGTCTAATCTGAAGATTCGTGTGGTTAGGTTGAATGTTAACGAAGCAGCAAGAGTCCAACGTTTTATCACCATCAGTAGAAAGATCAAGGACGTCGACGTGACCGATTTGGCTAACTTCCGCGTTTTCTACAGCGAAACAATTCTATTACACATCGTTCTCGTTCCGTATTGCAACGTTTACCTGGTTTTTTTTTCAACTTATTCCTTTCCGCCCGCACTCACCTTCAAAAACATGACCTCACTCTGAGAGTCAGCAGTGCTGGCAAGGGAATTTTTTCAGAGTTCTGTCCCTCTCTCACCTTAAGCCGATGTCAATACTCGCAGGTTTGCCTTCTCACCCCAAAATTCACTACGTCCCATAAGGAGGCTCGTTACCGTCCTATCACGAGCGCCTGGTCAGGATATCTTCCACAGAATCCTGCTCTCGCCATCGTGGGTGTTTCTATAATATAATTGGCCATGTAAGACATGCAGGAACCTCGGACATGCAGGAACAAAGATATATTGGTGGATGATATCTTCGTGACCTCTCAAACGTGGTGTTATTGTAAGACTTTATGGCTAATGTTCTCGAGCTCCACCTTCTTCGTGGGCTGGTGGGAATCTGGAAAGTTTCATTATTAATTAGTTCGGATATCGTGTCAAAACCCTCCGCCCACACCTTGAAATTGCGGTGAAATTGTCTTCCAGGAACATCCCTGAGCCAAGACCTAATGCTATATCCTCTCACCCCGACATGTTCCTGACGATTGGAGCACGGAACCCTACCAGCGTTACCCGCCCTCGTTCTCTTCCACACAACCGCGAACACCTCACTTTCACGCACTGCCGACAATCTGCTGACGCTATCGCATATGAACCCTTTCCTGGTCACAAACACGCAAAACCAGATCAAGACACTACTCAAAAATTCTGAAGTCAGTTCTATCCTCCCTGCCCCCCACTTCCGCTGAAGTTGGTCACGGTTGGCGCTTCGCCTGAACACGACTACGTCCGACTATGCCTATCCTCGGGATCAACAGCCACTTTTGATTCAAAATTTTGAACCTTCTACCCTGAAGGAGGATTCCACGATAAAACGGAGGTCGAAGAATGGGAAACATACCTAGTGGAGAGACGGACCCCTATGGGTGCGCGCAATTCGCATCGAAAGATATGTCCTCGGCGATCTGGCAGGGACTTCCTTTTGGCGCAGTTGGCCCACCCACATAGCAGTGAGCGTATTGACGTTGAAGAGGGCACGATGAGAGTCGCATCAATGCGAAAATCAACGGGCAAGGAAGGGTTCCATTTCTCGGGTTCCGAGCTGTTTCACATGGCCTCTTCTTTGTCCCTACTTCACTGACCACCTCTACCCTTCATTCGAAAAAGCTATCTTTTCATAGTTAAATCCGCCCTTAAAGGACTCCACCCCTCAACTCCACACCCGTCACCATCACCGTCATCGTCACATTTCCACGGCATCTGATTCTGAGACCAGTCCACACTCCACAACTCTACCAAGATTTCTCTCCACCCTCCAAAACGACTGCTAAGCCGGGGAAGCTCTGATTTTGTCTATTCATGATTCCTTTTTTAAGGTTTTTTTCGCGAAGTTCTGGTGAAGACGAATCGTTCCATCCCCGCAACCGCAACCACGACCTTTTTCAACTCCAAAGACTACCCCCTCCCAAAGGTCGCCAAAAGGACCTCTGTCTGAATCGGCCAGCCGAATAGCTCTGCGACCACGGTCTTTTACAAGGTCCTGCTTCAAACTATGTCTCTTTCAATCGACCCTGAAATTCGACACCTCGCTGTTGAAAACGAGCTTGTCTACCAAAAATGACCCCTTTCGTCGAAATTTCTTAAAAACATTTCTTTCCGTTTTCGAGTTTGTTTGCCTTAAGCAAACAGAGGATTCAATTTGAAGAAGACTGTGCAGAGCCTAGAAAAAATCTCATAAAACCTGGATCTCAATGGGATTATTAATTATTTCGAAAGAGTTATTTGTGTTGGTGATTCTGAGAAGAGGCTGCACAGTGGACAGAGTACGAGCCGACATCTCTACAATGCTGACTATGCCTCCCACCTGTCCTTTTTGTGTCGGTAGGCTTTTGTTACCCATTGTTAAGGCATAGCAGCCAGGATCAATCGTGGATTCACACTATTTGAAAGGGGGTCACATTTGGAGTTTCGAGGGTGTATTTTCGGTCAACCCGATTCAACTATCTTTCGGTGAATTGCTAACGGGGTCGTATTTGCGTAAGTTGAGGGCTAGTGGTAGCGGAAAAGAGGGTCGGTTCGAACCGTTTTGTTGAATGCTTTGCGTAAAACATTCAGAATAGACCATGAGACAGCGAAAAATAGAAAAAATTTGCCACTTCACTAGGCATATTTCCTCTCTTGGGGAAAAACTTGGGCGAGATCAGATAAGTCGAGAAACAAATGCTATAGAAACAGCTATATGTGAGGGTTGTGGTCGGTGGGGGAGAAGGGAGGGGACGTCGAGGAATCTCTTAGACAAAGTGGTGAGGGAGTGTTACCGAGCTTACCTCGATAGGACGTTAAATTTAGCCAAGTGCGAACCGACCGCTTGAACTTTAACGTTTCTAGTCATTTTTCCTAGAGTTCTTCTTATCCGTCATCCACTGTCCGCCTCCCAGGCCGTGATTTCTACATGAACAACTCTTCTCAATCGTAAAGTCCGTCCCTCGAGTAGCTCAAAGGAATCATCCCACCGGAAAAGCTCCGCCTTCAATTACTCAATAGCCGACTACCTTAAAGCAACAGTCCAAGGAGGGTTTCAACCAATTCAATCCTGAGGTGTGGAAGCATGCCCCAGCCCAAGTAAAGTTCATAGGAACTGTCACTGAATTAAAAACTTACCTTTGAAATGCGTAGGAAGGGCTCGAACTTCTTCGAAAAGGGCGGGTCCACCGAGCCTCGGTGGAGCCGCCCCCTTGCTGCTGTGAAGAGCGCGGTGTTGATTTTTGGTCGTTGCGGGACCGCTGGGTCTATTTGAGGTCGATCCTTTGAAGCAATCGATGTAGTGATGCCGACAACGCTGAATTTCTACATTTTTTCCTTCTACCTTCTACCTTTCAAAACATGAAACGATCCCATTATTGCGCCCCAGTTGCAATAGCTGGCAATAGCTGGCAAGTAGCCAGCTATTGCCAGCTATTGCAATTGGGGCGCATTTACTGCGGGCATGTTCATACAACTCGTCCAACGAGCGTCTTCCTCCATTGCTAAGTGGCGAGGGGGAGCCCCTGTCCTAGTACCTGTTCAACGTCTTTTTTGAAACTTTTCTTTCATTATTGGTC